GAGACAGGCTGCTTTGAATGAGTTTGACTTGAGTTCGGCTACTGCAGCCCAGCAGCAAGAACACATTGAACACATCTATGAATTTCCTACCTCTGTCCGAACAGCAGGGGTAACGTCACACAGTCACACACACACACACACACACACACACACACGCTCAGTGGTGATGCAGATGAATTGCTGGGATTGTATGGAGTATCTAAACTAGATATTATATCTTCAGTCTGGGACCAAGAGTGGTGTGTCTACAGACTGACATTCGCATCGCTTATAGAGCCAGCAGCTAGCAAAGCTAAAAAAAGAAGAGTATAAAGAGTATGTGTATTCATCGTTTAATCACCTTTGACTCCCAGTTGAGAAAGCCAGGCGCTCTAACAGCAGTGCATGTTCTGTGTCTCGCTCACATCAGAAGAGGCATGATTCCTGCACCCATATGAGACGGCGTGCCGAAAGCTCTACTTTGTTGGACAATAGAGTGGTGATGCACACCAGGCGACTACTCGGTTAAGCAGACGGCGGGACATAGAGGCGACGCGCTGACATGAGAGGCAGGGTGGAAGGTACCGGGACCTGAAGGACGATCAGAGCGACACTGGTGCGGGTTAACATCCGTGTCATCCAGTGGTCTCTGCTCTCTTGCTTTCTCTCTTTCTGTATCTCTTTCTGCCCACACTGAGAAAAATGACCACCTAGAAGAAAACCGCCATGCAGAATAGCGTCAGTCGCAGATCGTGTGTGTATGTGTGTGTGTAAGCAAATGTAAGGTGGTATGAAGCCTAAAATAAAAAAAAGCCACATGCAGACAGTGACACACACACACACACACACACACGGGCGCACAGTTCACGGGTTGGTGTGGCGTCACTGTAACAAAGTGTGTTTGTAACATGATAAACCAGCAAGTGAGGAATTATCCGATGGTTTCTCTGTCCAGCCACTTCATGAAGTGAGAAAAACAAAACCCTCAAACATTGATAGAAATTACCTTTTTCATTCCTGTACATCTTTTAGGATCAAATTTTTGATCAGCAGTTTTGAGGATATTATTTCTCATATTCAGTGAGTGTGTGTGCGTGCTTTATGGAGTGTGTGTGCGTGTGCGTGTGTGTTTCTGTACCTTGTATGATTGTCTGTGTGTAAGTATGTCAATTTGAAGCATGATTACTGGTCTGGTAAAAAAATATATATATTAATTAAAATGTCAGTAATGTGGTCATCTAGTTTGCAACCGTCAAATAGATTTCCAAAAACCTGTTAGCACATTTTCTACACAGTAGTTAGTCATTTTGAATTTATCAGACCTATTTCCTGTTTCCTTATCCCCTTTGTTCCTTTATTTCTTTGTCACGTGACCTGTATTAACCGTAGGACGTATGTGTTTATTGTCTTTGCTCAAAGCACAACATCTCTACAGAGCCAACAATTAGGAAACGTAAAAGGGCGAGCCGATCTGATATGACCAAAAAAAAAACGTCCTCATCTGTGTATGAACTGTACTTTTCCAGCCTCATGTTACTTTGTTTAGGTGATAAAGAACTTTGTTAAGCTGTACCTACTGTATGTGTCCAAGTTTAAAGTTTTGCAGTTTGGAGACTCTTCATAAGAGAAGAAAAGAAAAACTTTGAAAATGTTGATATTTTATGTCAGAATTGTATTGCAAAAAAATTAAGAAAGACGATTTGAGAATGTAGCAGAAGTCTTTTAAAGAACAAATCACCCTTAAATCTCATATATTGTTTTGTTTGTGTGTAATCTGATGTTCCTATTTCTGTTTGGCAGTCTGATTTCTGCCTCTGATACATTTCTATGTCGTTGTTTTCACTCTGACACATTCCAGTGAGTTGATGTGTTGATCTCTTGTTATTTGAGGGCATTTATTACGCAGATCACACAGGAATCAGTAACTGAACTGTCTTGGGATGCCTCTAATCTGTAATATGCACACTTAGCTGTCTCTCTGTCTGTGCTGAGACACAACCTGACTCAAATAGTATCCAAATAGCTCTTTTTTTCCCCAGCATATCTGCACATACTGTCTGATTTGATGCGTTTGAAAGTCAGTTTAGTGTCTGTGTCTGATGACTTTGGTGATTCTGCTTTAATTGCAGTAAACTCCACCCCTCTGTCGCAGCAAGTGTGGTCAAACAAACGCTAACAAATATTAGTTGAGCCAGGTCTGGAAGGAACTGCTGGCAGTTGAAAGGAAATTACTTGAATGCACCTGTTGTGTGTTCAGATCAACACAAAAAAAAAGGTGTAAATTAATTCAGATTATCATTGACTCAAAGAGATTAAAATCTGGGTGACTTTGTTTTGGGGTTTTTTGGCCTGCACAAATTGCTGATTGTTACCTGCAAAAAGTACAAATTATTTTGAACTGATGTAAAGTTTTTGACAATTCAAATTTTGGTGTGACTGACCAAAAGTGAAATAAATAAAGATTTATGGGACTTTTTTTGCAATATCACAGTGTCTTGGCTGTTAATGTGGGAAATAAGGAGGGAGTACACACTTCACACAATGAAGCTTTATTTTCTGAATATCCTGGTCCATAAACATGTAATGTGGGAAAAAAAACACACACATTACTCTGCTGGGACATCTTTCTGATACATTTTAAACCTTTTTATCTGTACTCACTCTACACGATATTAGTAACACCTTCCTTTCTCACTGTTAAAGGATGTTTTTCACCGTCACCTGCACTTTGTGTATACATCCTCTTAACTTACTGGAGTGGATCTGTTAAAGGAATAGTTGCTTTCTTGATTGATATCACTCTCATGCCTGTACGAAGCTGGCACCAAGAGGTGCTTAGCTTAGCTTAGCATAACAACTGCAAACGGGGTAACACAGCTAGTCTGCCTCTGTCTGAAGGTAAGAAAATGAGCCTACCAGCACCTCTGAAGCTCACTTATTAATAAATGATGTCTTGTTTGTTTAATCCGTACAAAAACCAAAGTGTAAAACATGTTTTGGTTTTATGACTATTTCTCAGCAGGGCAACAACAAGACTCCAGAAAGTCACTGCACCAGGCCAAGAAATAATCTGGTACACAACGTTTGTGGTAAAAATTTATAAAAATATTTTAATCTTCACTAGCTTACTTTAATTTAGCTAGGCTAGCCATTTCCCCTTGTTGCCAGTCTTTATTCTAAGCTAAGCTAAGCTAACTAGTTGCTCACTGTAGTTTCATGTTTACTGTACAGTCATGAGAGTGATCAATCTTCCCTCTGAAAGAAAGTGAATAAGCGTATTTCCCAAAATACCAACTATTCCTTTATAAGCTTTCACCTGTTTTCATCTACGGAGTTATAGAAATAATCAGCTAAAGTCTGTCACACACTTACAAGATAGGAAAGTCGATGCTTGTTCATGGTAAAAACAGTGTGACAAAAACACTGATAAAAAACAAAATATACAACAGAAAAACAAATACTTAAGGTCCAACATAAGGACCACAGTAATAAGTTAAATTAACTGATACAATTAATTCAATTTGAGCTAATTTACATATTGTCTTTAAACACAACCTTACTCAGAACAATCAAAGTATTTTAAATAATCACTCAAACATACAGTATTGTGCATCTTTGCATCATTTGAGACTGATAAATCGATTAATAAAATGACATCACATTTGAGGAAATTTGTACAAAGAAATGACCTCACGTTTGTTTTGTTCTGTCACTGGAATGACACGAGGAAGTATTGAACACTAACATTGTGTACAAACGTTCCCAGGTTATCTCAGTTGTGGTTATTTAGTAATACATGTTTGCTTTATTGATTCAGAGTATGTGGTAGTACCTCCTGAGTGAAACTGGGTCTAAATTTTAATTTTGGATCAGGTTCATTCACCAAGTAACCAACTTTTCATTTCCCCAAAGCTTCTGCTACAGCTCTTGAAATTCAACATGGATTTTAGTTCCTTTAGAGGCCCTTAAAACTTCTTAATAGTCATGGGATCCACATGAACACACACATGTTTTCTTCTAAAGTTTAAACAGTTTTTTTCACTTGAGAGAATTCAGTATTTCTGTGTCTCAAGCGGCAACTTCTGTGGCAAATGAGGCTGACTACAGAAGTGATCAGTCTTCACAAAGCCCCGTGTTAAAATGTACAACTTTACAGCAGAAGTAAACATGTACAGCCTGGTCTTTTGCTAATTTCAAGAACAGTTCGGGGGGATTCATTTTTATATAACTACCAGTTTAAATTATATTAAGGCTTATGCATTATTAAGTGCTTTGAGTGACAAGTGGGTGCCGTCACAGGCGTCGGGTTTCGGAAACTAGTTCATTCTACGCCTTTGCCCATTTTTGTATTAGCCGGGAGCCGCTGGAGTCAGGACTGCCAAGATGGCGACGGACAGAGCCGACCACACTGAGCCTCACAACGTCTCTTCAGAAAGCTATGGGTGACGTCACTGTGTCCATTTTTAAATTATACAGCATGTATCTGTGCTCTTTTCACTGGTTTGAAGTAGGCGGGACATGTTTAGAAAAAGGTGATGTCATATACTTCCACCTCCAATGCACATTACCTGAGTTTTTGAGAGTTTAACCTTTTTTACTTAGATTGTTGCTTATTTAGTCATGAACATATTATACATATATATATAATATATAACGTATATTATAGAGAAATAGATTTGAAGTTTCCAGGGGCTTTAAAAAAAAATACTGAGTGTCATTCCCTTCTCCATCTCTCTTTCTGCCCTCCAGTGCTCAAGGTTGAGCCTGTGTAATGTTGGCCCACTGAGGGAAGGTGCCCATGTCAAACATGGCGTATCCCCAGGTGTTGATGCCTAAATTAACGGTCAAAATCCCAATGATGTTCAGCATGAAGCCAGCTTTCACCTGGAGGAACAGACAGTTACAAGTAAAAGTCAAAAACCAGGGTACCTGCAGGTCTTGAAAAGTCTTAATAAGCATTGAATTTCGTGGATGGTGCACAAGAAGCTGTTCAATCCTTTTTATGGAGTTTCAGTCAGCACCATCAGACCTGCTACCTACAGGAAGCTCATGAGAGTCGTTTTTACCAAAAACTTCAATGAATTAATCATTTTCCATCCATTTTCTGATGCTTATCTAGGTCCAGGTTGCATTATTACGTTAATTCATATCATAGAACTTATTGTTATATATTGCTGCCACCACATCCCAATACAGAAGCCAATAAGCAAGTGCTCACCATGTCCATGACTTTAAGCTTGCCAAAGGAGAAGGCGATGGCGTTGGGTGGTGTAGCCACAGGCAGCATGAAGGCCAGGGAGGCAGCGATGGTGCAGGGCAGCATCACATACAGTGGGTGTATCTTAATAGCTGTGGCCTAAAACACACCTGAACAACCCAGTTAAATACATGGAGAAGCTGTGTGTTAACGCATGTGTGTGCATGTGGACGTCTGAGCGCTGTTTACCATTGAGGCCAGTATAGGCAGGAATAAGGTGGTGGTGGCCGTGTTGCTGGAGCACTCGGTGAACATCGCCACCAGCAGGCAGAGCAGCAACGAGATGGCGTATGGGGGGATTTTCTCTAGAGGTGCTAAGCTGTCTCCCAACCACTTGGAGAGACCTGACACCTGTAAACAAATATTTCAAGCAGGAATGACAGACATTAACTTTGGAGACATTTTCTTCTTCCTCAAAATGTCAAATACTATAAAGCTTTGTAAACCTGAGGGGAGCTGCAGATACAGGTGATAATTCTCAATCTCTGTGGGTTCATCACTACAAACGACCCCCTTTCCTTGTTTCCACATTTCCATTTGATACAGTGTCAATGTAAAGTATTGGTTTTGGCAACTTTAACTTTTCATAGAGGGCCATCATTAAAAACTAGTAAATGGTTAGTTTTAGTGGGACCATGTTATTATTAGCTTGGTAACATCTTTGATGCTACATAGTTTCTGTCCACATATCCCAGAAATTACTAATAAATAAAGCAGTGCGGGTGGTACTTTTTATTTTATTTTATTGTATACTTTTTGCTGATGATGTTTATTTGGGGCTTTTAATTACTAATAGTTTCTTTACCTTTAAACTATCTAATATAAAAGTGAGGCTCCAATTATTTATTAAGTAACTATTTGCTCAACATGAAATCTTAAAAGTGCTTAATTTCTTTTAAATTTACATTTACAATTAAGTGAAACACAGAAGTGCAGGAAATCCTTACATTTGAAAAGCTATGACCAGAAACATTTTTAATTGTTAAAAGAAATTTGATTATTAATTGATGATCAAAACTAACATTCACTAACTGATTTATCAACAAATCCTTTGAGCACAATATAAAAGGTGACATGAAGTCTTAAAAGAAGATAATACAGTGTTCATGGGTGTTTACCTCACTGCCTGCAGCCAGAGCGAAGCCTCCTCCCAGCAGCAGGATGATGTTCCAGGGCATTCGCTCGTGAACCACCTGCCAGTTCAGCAGAGTTGAGGGAGCATTCACCTTCTTACCTGTGAGACCCAGATGAAGTGTGAGCGTGAAACAGTAATTAGTTTTAAAGAGTAATCATCACCCAGCGCTCCAATGAGCTGAAATGTAGGTCACACAAACATCATTAAGGCATTGTATTAAGGGGGATTTTCTTTCTCTATAAATGTGTTTAGTGTGTTTAAAATCAACATTTCACCTTCATCGTTGTAACCGTAGCCTCCGCACCTTGGCAATTGGGAGGGGATGACGAAGAAAAGCATCGACATCAGGATAGCGACGGTTCCATCTGTCACAAACCTGAGGGACACATAATATGTTGCTGCCTTGTTGTCACAGTGCAAACGTGCGGGAACTAAGAACAAATACGCATTTATTGATGTAAAACTGCTACATGGTGATGAAGAGTTCAAAACATCTAACTGGAGGACAAAAGTTTAAGAGTTTCTGTACACTTTAAAGGGATAAAAAGAGAGATACAGGAAGAACAGGAGAAGGAGTTTAAAAGGATAAAGCTGGAAACATTCAACAATTTTCTTATTGTCAAAAAATCCTCTCTCAATACTTTCTGACCTCCCCAACATATCTGTAGCACCCAAAGCTCATAAGATGTAACTGTTTACAAAAGGGCCATAAATACAGTTTCTTCTGTAAAAGAAAGCTAATAAATTCATAAAACAGTTGAGGACTGTAGACCAGTTCACTGTTGACACACACAAAATAGAATATCACCACTCTTATTGTTTAAAGTCAAAACCAAAATACAGGAAAGAAAGCAAGACTCACGCTCCATTCTTGTTGAAGAGCAGTGTCGCCCAGCCATCTATGAAGCCGGGCTCCCTGGTGAACCACAACACCACTAGCAGAACGAAAATGGTGAGCACCGCCACCTCAGCAAACTTCATGCCGCCCAGCTTGTTGTACTCCTCCCTCATCACCGCGTATGCCTCCTTATCTCTGTCGGTTTTTATGCCACAGCCAAATGATTGCTTCAGGCTGAGGAGAAAAGGACAAAGTGCAAAGATGCTGCAGATTGGTCAACAAATCAAGGACGTTTGAAGATTTAAAAGCGTGGACTAAGGTCAGTAAATTAGTTAAACTTTAAGTAAGAGTGAACCATGGATTTACCATCATTTTTCATAATGGTGGCATTGTGGAAGAGCGGGATTGGAGTTTTCCCTTTACTGTTCAATCATGTTGAAGCATTTAAAACTCTTGAAAATTAGTGCTGTGTGCCTTGATGCTGTGATATTTCTCACTTGATTAACAAAAATAAAAAGCCTGCATTTGTCTCTGATAACTCTTTTACAGTACCTTATACCAGTGCTAAGGCTAACAGGCTGCTGACTGTAGTTTCATAATTAATGGATCCTCTCATCTAACTCTCCGCCAGAAAGTAAATAAACATATTTACCAAATGTTAACGGGTTAGGTAAGGTGTGTTTTTGAAGTTTTCTAGTATGAATGCAGCTTCACCTTTAAATGGTCTGTTCATCCAAAACATAAAAAATACCCCTAATGATTCTGAGCCATGCAAATAGTTAATTCAATGGAGGTCTTAAAGTACAATGGAGGTGAATTGAATGTGTGTGATGTTTCTCTACAAACAATATGCTGATTACTCAGGATAAAGAAGAAGAAAACTCCTTATATTTCTAAAAAAGTTAGTGTTAGGACAATTTTGTTTTGTTTTGTTTTTATTTATGGGTTAAGTGGTCATTGAAAGGGCTTGTGTGTAGTGGCATAGTGATGTAGCAGTCTGTAGATAAAATCAGCTCATTCTAAGGTAATGAAAACACAACAGTTCCTATTTTCAGGTAATTATACACTAATGAAAACATACATATGAATATTATATTATATTTCCGCCAATAGATCCTCCTAAATGTTACACATTGAACCTTTAAACATAAAGCTGAGTATGAGATAAAACATTTCCTCATTGCTCACAGAAGCATCTGTGGCTGACTGTATTAGGCTAAAGTTGCCTTACTTGAAGCCCAGGAATATAAACTGAAGCCAGAGCCAGGTCAGTATCAGCATGAGCACCATGTTGGGAAAAGCGAAGCCGAACCAGCTGGCGAAGTTGATGACATCACCATTTTCAGGGAAGAGCCTTCGTAAAGGATGAGAAAGATGTAGAGATGAGAGGAGGGACCTGTGTGTTACCTCAGCTGTAACATATCTGGAGTAATATTCCCTGTGTTTATTAATGCCTTACTTGTCAATTTGACCCTTGAGGATGAGGTTAGGGGTTGTGCCGGTGAGCGTGGCCGTCCCTCCGATGCTGGCAGAGTAACACACACTAAGACTCATCCCTTTGGTCAGGAGATCGTACTTTGCCTCCCTCGCTTGTCTCCTGATCTCCTGCTGTAAGTCTGTATGTTCATCTGGAGCACCAAGACATTCAGTGAGTTAAAGTTATTAGAAGATGCTGTCTAGAAGACCAGAAACCCATTTATCTAGCAGACATTTTGACTTACACGCTTGGTCCTCCAGCTGAGCCTTGGTGTCTGGTGGCTGTTTCTCGTCTGTCATTTCCCCTTTAGTTGGACTGATCTCAAGCTCAAATGCTTGGTTGTCCTCGGCCGTACCCGAGAACTCTCGTGCGTCCGCCTGGGCCTCTGTGGTCTTCAGCTGCTGCAGCACGGCTTGGGCGATGGGCAGCATCATGGCCGTTGTGGCTGTGTTGCTGATCCACATGGACAGGAAGGACGAGACTATCATGAAGCCTACCATTAACCTGTGTGAAAGGTTAGAAATCATGAGGAGAGCAGCGGCAGTGGTGATCAGATCTTAATCACAGAGTACCATAGTTGCAGTATATTTCTTAGTATTTTATTTTTTTAACATGCATTTTTAACATGTAGTACCATGTTGGTGTAGTTTATCATGAGAAGTTTTATGTTTTCAGATGAGATCCTTTCCCATGATTTCTAATTATTTTTAAACAAATTTTATTGATTCACAAAATCAACTTTTTAACAAGAAAGAATGAAGTTAAATTACTGTAACATTGCAATTAAATGGTATCGGGCATCTCACCTCTGTTATTAATTATTGACTACAAAGTCAATGAATAATTGAATGAATTCAGCTGAATGTTTAAAATTTATTTTTATATTTTGGGTTGTACTAAATAAATTGTAATGTACCAAAAACAAGCAAACATCTTACAAATTACACATGTTAGTCAAACAGAACATAGAGCAAATTAGTTATAAAACAACACTTTCTAGACACTAGAAAGTGATGAACACGCCCAGACACACTTGAATTAGTTGCTGAAATCGACTATCAGTGGTGTTGAAAAATAAGCTGACATTGTTTTTTAGTTTCTGATTGTGTGATTAAGAAATGAGTGCAGATATTTCCTGTGAATCTATAAGTAAACATTTGAAAATTACTTTCTTACCAATTCAAAGAATGGTAGGCTACATAATATCTGAATCATGCAATCAGAACATTAAAACAAAAAATAAAACTTTACATGGTTAGCTCATTTCCATTAAGTGAATTAAATTGTTTTGCAACTCATTTTATTGTGTTCTGTGAAATTTACAGTGTTTCTAAATCTATTTCTATTTTCTATTTTTGTAGCTTTTTTCTGTAATTAAATGTGTCAGAAAGATGTTTGTCTTCATTTGCTTTTTGTTTGTCTTTTAGCACATGTTGCCTTAAGTTTCAGAGCATTGGGCTCTTTGGGCCACCATACCCAATATGAGAATATGAACGATGTATGTGTTTTGCAGTTGATGCTTTTGGTATGGAAGAATCACTAAAAAGTGGCCAACAGTGTAAAAGCATTGAATGTTATCATCCAACAGACACAAACACAGTTTTATATCATGAGAAGTGTTGAATGAGTTTGCGTTGCATTTTTAACATTTAATGTCAATATAAATAAATGTGATGTGAAAACGTTTTAAGCTTATTTTAGGCTGTGCTATCTCTCTAGTCACAGCTGTCTTTTGCTGTGTGCTGTAGTGTACACAGGTGAGCTGTATCACAAGGATTTCTTACAGGGACGGACGAACACCAACCAGCAGCAAAACTCGGAGAGCGATGCGCTTATGAAGGTTCCAGTGCTCCACTGCGATGGCCACCAACAGGCCGCCAATAAACAGCATGTTAGAGTCTTTCAGATACTCGATACTGACCTGAAACAGAGCACACAGGCACTAACTTCAGTAAAAGAATTAGAAATACAAAGAAAGGCTTTGAATTGCTGCAGTAATGTATGAACCTGCTGTCAGAGTACTATTTTTTTATGAGCAATAAAAGTAAAACACTGGGATCAGCAGATTCGTCTCAAACCGACTGAAGCAGGTTCAGTATGCAGGTGTTAAATCAGTTAAGACAAAGCAGATTTCTTGCTCTTTTGTACTTTTCTTTGATTCTGTTCTCCCGCCGTCCTTAAACTGATCTAGCTAATCCTGACCTCTGACCTCCTCATCTTGTGTGGCCAAGCAAAGACAAATATGAGGTTAAGCTGAGGCAAGGCCACTAGAAAAGCTCTACAGCATCAGTGCGGCTTAATCTGATAATCAATTGATCAAATGAGGAGGGGGAATACTACACAGCAAACCAACCTGCAATTTAATTAATTTAAAGTACAGGTACATATAAGCTGGCATATAATGAAGCACAAAAATGTAAATAAGGACGGTACCTCTGCACCCTTCATGATGCCCATCATAGGGAAGAGGACGATTGGCAGTAGGGCAGTCACAGCCAGAGGCATACACTCTGTACACCAGTACAGAGCCATGAGGATGATAGCATAACCACATTTTGCTTCCTGTAAACACACACACACAAGTGTTAAAGCCAAAATCTTTAAATGAGAACTGACAAACATTTCATATTCAGTGCATTCATGTGCTCTTGTGTGATACACAGATGTTTGGCACAGGCCGACACACATGAACAGTTAAGTACATAAAGTATATCAGCTTTCATGTTCTTGGTCTTATCTCCAGCCTCTCTTTAAAAGGCAATAAGACTTTACATGTGCAGATAGCTGTTTCCCTTGATCATAGAACAAACATTTTGTTGTGCTCTTGTCTCACAAGATAAGTCTTTATTGTTCCTCAGTAAAAAGTTTTTTCACAAAGACTGTTTAACTATACCGACACAAAACTTTCCACTGCTGTGTAGACACACCATTTTTTAATTGTTGAGGCACAAGGGTTCAAATTGGTTGTAAGATCACCTCTACATAGTGAACCATTACCTCACCTTGGTCTCCATACCACCATAAAGTAATGGAGCTTTATTATCAATCAATATGCTGAGGAATTGTTGTCGAGTTGCAGCATTTAAACACATAATAGGTAACTTGGGTCACATGGTTAACTTTCTTTTGGATTAAGAACATTGAAGACCTGATGAGTACAGTGGACAAAAGGCAGATAAAATGCATTCTTGATAATGTTAGGGTAATGTTAGGCTCTGATATAACGAAGATTTATGTTCTCAGTATTCCCTTTGAAATTACAATTTGAAGGAGTATGTTGTCCTTTACAGACTGAGAAACGTGTATGTTGTCGCCTAAAATCCAATTCCATTGCAATATAATAATAAAAGTGGGAATCAAAGTAACAAACATTTCCATTTCAAGTTTATGTGAAGGTTTTTGGTTTATGTGTTAAGCCATAATGTTTCAAATAACTGGGATGGCATATATGTATTTATTTGTAAAAAACGTGATTCACACAACATCAAACACTTTATCTCCAGTGTGGCATTTGCTTAAATTTTACCGATTGAGCTGAGGTTATCCAAAGTTGAAATATTTATTTGTGTGTGTGTGTGTAAGTTGATTAATTGAACAGGTTGTTCTCAAAGAATAACAAATCCTCAGGACAAATATTTGATCTGCAAATGAAACCACATGTTCTGTTGCAATCCTCCCCAAGTGTAAATTAACAGAACTATATTAGCCGAGCATGATGCATGTTTTCATGATGTACCTCTAGGACTGAACTGTAAATTCAGAAAAGACATACGTAGAAAAAAGGAGCACAGATAGAGACATAAATACATTTAGCCACAGTCAAACCCACTGCAACATTGTTTAAACTCTGGAAAACACTTGTGATGTTCTTTCAGTCAAGACAAATCACACAGATAATTAAAAAGTTATCTCCATGCACACACACACACACTTACCGATGTAGGGTACTTGAGTGGCAGTGGAAGGAGTATCAACGGAGTGAGAATGATGATGATGTAGTTTCTGTGATACCATATCCACCTCAAAAAAGTATGCAAGATTCTCATGGCAAAACTGACAAGAAAACCCAGAGGTGAAAAAGTTACAAGAAGACTCTCAGAGTGGACAGCAGATAAAGATCAACACCAACTGGTACTGTGTAGAAAAGACAGAAGACCAGACAGGTCAAAATAAAGCTACACACCAAGGACAGGTGAGCTAACGGTAAAGCACAAGGAAGCTGAGGAAAAGCAGAGATGTGCTCCACAGAGAGCCACTGAGGTAATGAGACTAAACTTGACTGCAGTCTACTTTTTCTATCTCTTGTGGTGTATCAAACATTAACTCAACACCAAAGAGATCACAATCCTTGAAAGAGAGGCAGATAAAGTTATTGGGAAAAAAAGAGAGAATGGTAAAGGTTGAAGGGGGTGGAGGGATTGACAGGTGAGGAGAAAGAACCGAACAATAGGGAGGTTTATTAAGGAGAGCGGCTTTGTCAAAGGTCGGGTGCTGCTGTTCATGTGCAAGTGAGCTGAAAGAAAGTTTGTTCAGTTCACTACACTCTATTATGTACTATTTATTTACAATTACGTAATAGTTTGAATCAATCGGGAAGCTAGCTTAGCACAGAGACTGGAAACAGTGACAAAAGTTCACACATAAACACGTCTATTCGGTTTAATCTGTACAAAAACCAAAGTTTAAAAAACGACAGTAAAATAAAAAAGCACCTTGCAACAACTCCACAACTTTTATTTCTATGGTTTACCGTGTTTGCTAACAAGCTAAAGTCGCCTGGGTTATGAAAGTCTATCACTTAGATAATTAAACTAAAATGTTTTATTTTGCTTTTTATTTACGTTTTTATGAACCTTAATTACAGTTTAGTCTACAACATAAAAATACAGATATTTTAGAGTCATTCGACTTTAAATTTAGTTTACCAGATTTTAGATAAATCTCTGTAGTGACTATATGTTGGCATTGTCAATGATTTGATTTATTTCAGCTTTAAGAGTGGGTTCCTGACTACAAATAAGAGCTTATTGATGTTATAATAAGTCTTTAAACCAATAAAGAGCAAAATCTTATGATCTTACACAGCACACGGAAATTATTGAGACCTGTCTGTTTTATAACTTACTACTCTTCATATAGATAAGACCAGGAATAGCTTCAATTAAGCCATAAAACACACTGTCAGCCATATTAAATCCAAACAATGCTTATGTTGTATTACAGAAAGCACGGACAGTACGGAGGATGCAGCTTTTTTGTACACAAGTTGGTGACTCATTTATTAATTTTAAATCAGTAACACAGCAAGTTATTTCTGTAGCTTAAGGAATATGTTTTATATACATTGTGGGAAAGCTCAACATAGATGTAACCACCAATGACAAGAGAGTTTGGATGTTTTCAACTTTTCAACAACAAGGAAAATGAAGGAAGGACAATAAATTGCTTTATGGCTAAATACTTGAAGAATAGGACTGGACTGCACTCTGTGCAGGTTTTATGGCAGCCATACAATGTCTATGACGACAAGCTCAAAGGTTTGGGGATCATTGTATTCTGAAAGCCTTCTTCGTCACAAGAAGGGCTGCTGATGTGTTCAATTGCTGGTTTAATATTTGATATAGAAAGTTGGCATGTAACGCTTTATCAGAGTTCACTTATGAGAAGAAGATGCATATAAAATCTTTATTTCTCAGTCACACACAGTTGTAATCATTAATAACTCATCAAAGTTGTAATCAGTCATTTCTCCAGAAGGAGGAAATGCAGTAAATATGTGATACCTGATCAGTATTCATCAATATGAATCAGTATAGGTATTAAAAGTGTCTCCAAATTTTAAAAACAATTATTATTAACTTAAAGCTGCAACAATTTTTCATATGAAATTCAGTTTTCTCATCGTTAGGGCTTCCACTCAGTCTGTAAAAACAGTTTTCTGTGGCTCCGGAGATGTCATTAAGGTAATCTTGAATTGGATCTTAGACTTAAAACTTTTAGAAGAAAGCCTGTGTTGTAGTTTGAGATGAGGGGTTTGAGTGAAGAATGGGAGAATCTATAGTATGAAAGACACAATTGTTCATTTAAGGGTAACAAAAACATAATAATTCTTATTTTCAGGTGATTGTACACTAATGCAAATATACCTTATTTATCCTTAATATAATTATCCATCTGTTGCACTAAAGCTTCCTTAACTTTCCTTAATTATTTAAAGTTTTGCTTCATATTACTTTAATTTACCATATATTAATTAAGTTTCAAATTAAATGTGCTTTTTAAAATTTTAAATCTAATATAAATAAACACAATCTTAGTTTATCCTTGTTGGTGCATCTCATCCGAAACTCAAATCATAATTATTATAAACTTCAGTCTGAGTCTGTTTTCTGGAGCTATAAAACCAATTTATACTACAACATAATACAATAATATTAATAGTCAGAGTAATAATAGAACAACCACTACTTATTACACAACCCTAATCAGATCTTTTTTTTATCAGTGTGTGGTCCTTGAAGTGATCCATTACAGATATGGTAGCAGCCTCAACTGATAGAAGTTGCACTGAGAACCAAAGTCCTAATAATTAGTCCGGGGTTACCTTGAGGTTGTCAAGTTCTCACTGCACTTCACACTGCTGGCTCTGGTGCTACGGGGCCAGACGTGCTTTAGTTTCACTGCTCTTTGACTGAGACATTTTGTTTCTATAAAAACAAACAAATAAGATCTTTCAATGTTTAACTGAGTGATGAGGAAGTAATAATATCGCTTTAATCTGTCCGCAGGCTCCAGCTTTTCCGTCTGGTGTGCTGGTTTCAGCCTCTGTGTCTCTCCATGGTGCTGAATCTGATCATTAACTGAATCTGATCAATAATCTCCTGTTGGCCATAGTCCAAAACTAAGAAAGGTGCTCCACAGATTTAAAAAATATCTCACATTTTGTTGTGCCTCTTTTTTAATATGCCGCTCTAGTTATCAGAGCTAAATTTGGAAGATGGCACTGTGTTTGCTTTAGGGTTGTTTTTTTACACCAGAGATCAATAGAGGAAAAAGACTGTCCTGGTTACACAATGTTTGAGCTCAGATACCCGTTCCCTCATCCATCCATTCGTTCAACCACAAGTTACCAAACAGGGGGATTAACATAAATAAAATAACATATGGTATCATATCCATATATAAAATGTTACGGACTTTACAGTCACCAGATCTCAACCCAGCTGAACACCTTTGAAGACAACGCACCTCCATCACCAAACAATGTATAATGGCAGGAATTATACATTTAGGCATTGTTACATTTAAATAAAATGCAACTGATGGACTTCTAGCCATAGCTTATTTGCAGTCCTTGTCTCTTTTTAGAGTTTTTTTTAGGAATAAAACACTCTAATACAAGCAGAGGTACAAATAATAAAACAAACATAGACAAAAACAATGAGTGCAAGGACCCTTTAAGAATGGACAAGAGGATAAGAAAGTGTTCACAGATTTGCTTTTATTCAAGTATTGAAGTATTGAAAGCTTTATCTGTGTAGATAAAGTTGTAAATTTAAACGAGGGAATATCTTTTGGAGGAATGGTATCGTCCAATAAAGTTCCACAAGTTTGGCAAAGAGCATTGAGGCTGTTCTGGTTGCTTGAGGAGGCCTAACTAAATACTTGTTTCTCCTCTAATTTGTCACCTATCTATACTTATATATTACATTATATATCAACTTTATGAGAGAATAGCAGACTTTAACCGTTTCTAGTCTGGTTTGTAATTTAGCATTTAACCATTTTCCTGATTTAGAAGCATTCAGCTAAACAGACTCTTCTAATTACCTGTCTTGGTATAAAAAATAATAATAGCTGTATTTTTTTCTGTACCTTAAAGTGATCATGTTCATGATTTTTCTGGGACAGACAGGACAGAGATCACAGTTTAATCATTATCACAGCAGAGCACTGACCAATCAGGAGAGCGGACGCCTGGGGTCAACAGCTTCTGAAAAATATCTATTGATCATCTGCACACAAAGCTGCAGCCCAAAGTGGGGCACTCAGCTCAAACTCATCTATAGTTCACTGGTGTAAACAGGCAGAAATGTGCACAGTTGAAATCTGAGTTAAAAGTTTTAAAAGTAGGTATATTCTGAGTCAGCATGAAGACAGCGGTGGTTCTGCTGGGCCTCGTCCTCCTGCTGGACACCACCTTTGCTGCAGAAGGTAAGTCTTCTAACATATGTTTTACCTTTAAAGTAATTAAT